GAACACACAACTCAGTCAATCACAACAATATGTAAATGCAGCACACGGTTTTCTGTATGATGATCTCATTAAGACTGCATTGTAAATGAATCAGTAGATTATCACGCTCTACTCTCTCGCAACGTTCATTTCATTCAGCTTATCGGTGTGCATCTATGGCATGTACGTCCACGAATGATCTCTCGCAATACTTATGCTAATTTAATACAAAGTTCGCTTAAAGGTACCCAACTAAAGCATATCAAATCATTTCACAAAACACTGTCCCATCTACCTACCAGCAGCATAGTATCGTGCACAATGTGTGCTACTTGTATCCTCGTCCCGATCCAAACTGCTGAAGCGTCGTCCATCATGGAATGACATCGCGTCTGTTAGATTGCTTGAATTGCTGTCGTAGTTCGATATACTCAATCTGAATCAGTCTTTAGAATAGTCACAGAGGCCATTTCACTCTATCTAGGAATCTTTCTCTGAAACGTTTGCATTCGTTATTCTGCGATTCCTTGAGCATCTTCACCAGTTGCTCTTACCCAACGCTCTTTTGAACAGTCCAATGGATTCTGATTTGTTCAATGCATTTGTTGACTGTAATGGAAATGATCCATTCTGAGATGAACGAAACCGATAAGATCTGCTAGGGTCCTGAACCACTTGAACAACTATCAAAATATATGCAGCAGTACTACCTATAGAGGTGATCGAAATCCGAAACCGAGAAGTTGTGATAGATAGCTAGACGGTATTCGCCAAAAACGTCCCATGTCTCGAAGCGAATCGAGCAATCGCAAAGCTGTGTCAACGCGTTTATGTACTCGTTACCAATCCAGTGATCTGCATCCACCTATAGAACATCATCACTTCATGCTGCACATCAGTCACGAGCACGTAAATGCACTGTGTTGCTAATTTGGTTTATCGAAAATTAGCAGCATGGCGCATTTGCGTGCCAATGTCTAATTAGTGCAGCATTTATTCGCATCCCGTCCTCCTTAACCTCGTATCCCCTAATTGGCATTAATTTCTTCCAGTATTTCCTTTGGCCCCTTCCCCCCCCCCTCCACTCTCTGATCTAGTTCCAGTCCTCATTTTCAGTGGTATTCACTCACTAGCTCAGCCCCCTCATCCCTCTTGTCGGTTCCTTACCAAATTCTGTCATTTTGTTTAAGTCAAGCTAAAAACTTCACATCGTCACCGTTTTTTACAACGGACTTTGAATATTTCGTCATATTTGATGATACTTTTGCCGTATCGTTAAACTATCAATAAAAGAAGAACTTGAAGGTGCGTTGTCCAGGTTGATGCGTAATACGGTAACATAGTTATACGGTATCACTTGTTTGTTGTCTGGACGTACGTATTTGACGACGATGCAGTTGTTCAAATACCATAGCCGACTACTACTCAAGTGCCCACCTCTCTAGCATTCATCATCATGAATGTAGATGAGCATACGAATGCATCTATTTCAAACACAATACAACTCACATTACCAAACGGCCAACGATATTCTTCAAAGGTTCGATTGAATCGTACTGCACCATCCATTCTCTGCTGAATTATCGTCCAGTCCTTATCACAATGAACCATTTGGGATGGCAGCTTATCTGATGGCTTTATCAGAAGATATTCTTTATGAACACCATAAGTTGTCATCGAATCAGAGCATGCTAAAAGTGATCCTTCTTACACAACAAACACGAACATACATCTCAACAAAACACAGTTAATCGAGATTTTGCACAAGAAAAAATACTCCTAACAATTTGCTGAATATTCGGTTAACGTTTCGCAAAGAGATTCACTCGGATTCGGGCACTAAGGTTCTTTCAAAACAGAATGCTCTTTCCGTTATGGATACATGGATAGAAACTTTTCAAATCATTTCGAATTGGAAAAACAATATGGTTTGAGCCGTGTGTTATGTATCGATTTTCATGGCAAACAAACGCAGGTGCGGAAACAAAAGTGGGGACAGTGAAATGCTATTTACGAAAGGATTTATCTGTGAATAGAGATAATTTATCTGAGATAACATGACTGAAATGGGTGGATGAAAATATGCATCCAAATGTGGGGACATGTGAACACTAATCCAAATATCCTTTATTATTCATTAGAGTTTATTAAAATCAGATATAATTTCTCCCTTGACGGGGACTGATACAAAGGAATCCAAAGGCGAATCTCCATTGAAGAGAATGTGATAAGAGGCATCTGAAATTAATCGCGAAAGACTCTTCAAACAATGGAAATGATGATAAATCGGCAAAATGGCTATACTGTTAGATGAAGAGTTGTTCGTGCTATTTTTCAATTGATATATTTGTGAGAGATTATGGTAAGAAAAAAGGCTAAAAGAGTTCCTGAATGAGCAGATAATAAAAATTATATTAGTAGTAAGGAGTATCTCTCGGTGAAAGTAAGAAAGTACCCTTGGGTAAAGATGCCTCCAAATTGTTTAAAGAGCTTTGACTGTCATTTAATTTCTTGATGACGTTCCTGAGGTTCGAGTCGAACTTCTCGAGTTTGTCGTTTGTAGACGCTAAAATCAACTGCAGTTGCCTGACAGTGCTCTCATCGGCCTTCTTCCCCACCTCCAAGATAAGCGAATCGACTTTGTAACGTTCATTCTCTTAAAATATCAAGTTTGTAACCAATTGCAATCGCACTGAATAACTCTAAATTTTTCCTCAGTTTTTCTCTTAGCTGATAGCCATCCCGAACCAACTGTAGTTTCATACGCTTCAAAGCGATGCTGCATCTGAAGTTTCAAAAGAGTGATGTTCATTCAAAGAAATGTTATCGAATGATCGTGCGTTTAATGCATTTTTTGAAGAGAAAAAAACACAAGTGAGAAGTATGATTTCAAATCTGTATTAGTTTTGATTTTCCTGAAAATAACTGCTGAATGCATAACTGAAAGTGCAATGTGATGATAATTCATCTAAAAAATATTCATCGCTATAAAAAGTGTTGATAATGATTCATCGAATATTAAAACCAAAACGATGAAGTGAATTAATTTGCATATTCCGCCGTTATATCACAGCACTAATCCATCGCCACATAGCAATCGCATCCCTGCCACTACCACTTGATGAACACTTCACACATACAAACTTTACTCCTACCCCGTATTCGAATGCACACTACATTTCCCGTAGAGCAACCACAATCGTTCACTGATTCGCATGAAAGGCTAACTTTCAAGATATTGTGCATAGCGTTATGTTCTTTGTTACAAATTGATGCCCGAAATTGCTTTAGGAGTATAGATTTGAAATAAATTGTGAAGATATGAGGAACAGAAATGAGTTTAAAGTTGCTGGGTTGGTTGAAAATGGAAAAATGCTTCATTCAAATGATGTGGTGAACGATAGAAATGCATCCTTCCATCATGGATTCCTACTTTCGATTTAAGAATTTATCGCATCATGCTATCCTTCGTCAAACTCTAGATAGATTGCGATGATAATGGCATTGCCGCCTCAGTCAGAGGGAAGCTGGATCGGGGACAGGGCTTGATTTCTGGAGAAAATTTTTAAAGATAGGCCAACAAGCTGAGGGTGAAATTTGTACTTCAAGAAAACGAACTGACATATTCATTCACATATGGAACGGTAAAAGCTGATTTGTAGTGCTGACATTGATTGTTACTTTTCGTTTGTTTGTAGATAAACGTTCATCGAGAAAAAAAAGTGTCTTACCGAACAAACTTTGCATTTTTTCGAGATCGATTTTGGATCTGATTGCCATTTCAGTCACATTACATGCAGCCGTTGACAGTAAACCATTGTGAGTGATATTCATAACTTCAACCTGAAACCTCGGATGAAGTTCGTTTGTTGAATCATTGCACAGACGATAATCGGAGAGTTCTCGATCAAACTTCATTACTCACCACTACCAACTCTCACTGTATCAGTTCCTATTATCATATCAGTTGTATGGTTTCTCTTTGAGAGGACCCTTAAGTAGGATATGCAGGTGAAATGTGAACAAATAAGTGCGCTGACTTCATACCCAATAGAATAGTGCCACGTTAGCTATCGTTAGCTATTTCAGTTCCTTGAATTTCAATTATCATCTATTTCAGTCTCAACAATATATCCCCTACTTTTTCTCCACCATAATTACCACTCACGTTGAGTTGCAACTCATTTCTGTTTGTATAACTAAAGTCAATTCGACTCTAATTATACAAGCAGAAATGTTCGTCCTAAAGTTTTGGTGTCTTGAGAAGAAGGTTGCTATTCTGTATTCTTTAACTCTATCGAGACGTTTTTTTGAAGATGATACTATTGATCAAGTGACTCATCAGTACTGCACTTCTAATTTATGTTTCTCAGCGTACAGGATATCGATCCAGTTTAATGTGAGTTTGAATGATTCAGCCAAATTTCATAAAATGCAAGAGAAATGAAACTGCCAATAATAATCATCAAATCGAAACTATGGCACTCAGTAATACGGTATGAAATGCATAAATCAGCAGAAATATCATCAACACAGCAAACATGATCTAAATATATGAACGATGCAAATGTGTAGACATTCATCCTGTTCATGTTATTTTTGTGCAAGCACATATAAACGGCATGGTGCATCACAATAACTTCTGAATTAGAACACTGAATTGCTGATGAGTTAGGAATAGTACGATGATATGATGAAGAATCAATGGAACAACAATGAAACCTACTTGCAATTGGTTTTATGATATCGTCCAACAAGTCAATAACAGAGGTGTGATTATCAAACAATAGCCAATTTCTGATAGAGCTTCAAGAAATAACCTGTAGATTCGAGAGTTTTAATGCCGCTTTATTGAACTTCGTCTCCAGTGAATTCAAAATTGACATTTGATCGGTAAGTGACGAGAATAGACGAATGTGTGACAGCTTCATTGCATCACTGACCAGCATCCATTTTTCAGTTAATGATCTTGTTCTATTCAAACCATCCTCGATTCTCAACAATTTGTCATTCTAAAATTCTCTTTGATTTAAAAGTTTCACTCTTGCACACTTCTTCCACAAAGTTCTCAGCATATCAGTTCAAGTTCTTTTCAATTCAAGAAGGAATCATCATTTCAGTATCATATTATAAATGTGATATGGAATGGTTGAGTNTAAACTGCAGTTTGATATGAAAGCATCATACACACCACTTCGAAAGTTCGCAATTCACTCAGCTCGTCAGATAGCAATGTTAAAATGCCATTTGTGAGAGTATAAATGTTTGAACCTGAAGTTTCTGCTCCTGATGCCTCGCTTGTTTTTCTTGCTTATTTTTTAGTTCCAACTGAAGCATTCGTTCAGTCATGTTCTTTTCGTTTTGTCGACTCGTAATCTCCTTTCCGATATTACTCGAATTCATCATACTTATATCGCTGGTAATTATATCAACCGTAGTTTTCTGAGTACGAAAAATGAGAAGTTATCAAGTTTCGAATGATACGCACAGTGGTATGAGAAGATTGGTTTTCAAAGTTGATCATCCATGAATTAGTTTAATTACAACGAAAGAATTTATCGAATGAATCTTTCTAACTCACAGTGCATTTTATGCAAAGATTGAACTTCACAGATCACTACAAAGTAAAAATTTCAGCAAGCAGATGGAACATTAATAATTATCGCCTGAATCTACTGAAATCTCTGCTCTTCGAATGACTCAATCAACAATGTCTTTGTTGATTCTCTTAACGATTAACTATTGGGCACCGAAAAATTTATGATCAAATGCACCAAACTGATATATATCCAGCAAAATGGTTTTGAATTTACACGGTTTTAACCTAGACTTATTTACGTCCTCTCACAATCAGCAGTTTGTAACAGGAAAGATTCGTTCATAGCACTGAATGAAGTAATGATTAAGATTAAATT